TAATCACTCTCATTGACATAGTGCTCCGTGGTTAACAAGCACTTTCACATTCTGTAACTCTTTAGTTCTCAGAACAGCAGAAGCCAAGGCCTCTGGGGCTTGGTGACATCCCCAGCATCACATGCATAAGAGGAAGGGCCTGGATTTGAACCTCCTTTTCTGATGTTAAATTCCCTACCATTTCTTTCAGCCCAGGCAAAGATCACAAAGTCAAATGCCTTTAGGGGCCAGGTAGATAGTATAAATGAGAGAAACTGATTGAAGTAGAATATATTGAGGATGAGTAAGGATTGTGGGAAACTGGCCAGCATGCTTTGCCTAAAGGCATTAAAATGCAAAACAGACTCCAGCAACTGTAGTCCCAGCAACTCAGGAGGCTGAAGCTGGAGGATCACTTGAGCCTGTGAGTGGTGAGGCCAGCCTGGGCAACATAGCAAGATTCCATCTCTCAAAAAACATACAAAAAAAGAAAAAAGAAAAAAGAAAAAAAAATTTAAAAAACAGTAGGAAAAAATCCATTTAATTTGTCACCTACTCAGTGTTCAGTCTATAATCTACCTCCTTGTTGTTGGGACAGGGAGAATGTTTGCATGGTGTCTCCTTTACCACTAAGTAGCATTTACTTGATGGCTTGGGCAGGCATGACCTTGGTTGTAGTAAGTCTATAGTATAGAGATTCTGTTGTTTTCCAAATAGAATTACAGCTTTTAGAATAGAATGATGGACTCAGGCATGTACAGATCCTGAGCCTACCCATCATCTCTCCCTCTTAGAGTTTTCAAGACACGGTATTCAAAGTAATATTATCTTAATGTCTGTGCAAGTCCCGGATGCCCTGATTTACAACCCTGGTCAAAGGTTCTATTCTTTCCCTAACTCTTTCCTTCCTTTCTCATCCCATTTGAAATCATGGGACCTGGTTGCTCAAGTCTACATGCTAAGTGACAGTGACAGTGGCAGAGTAGTGGGCAGAGTCCCCAAACGGACCCCAAGGTCACCTTCTCCCCTACGGCAGCGATGTGGAGGAAAGAGAGAGGAGAGGATGGCTCATGCCTTTAAGTAGAGTAACCCTGCCCACTAGGAACAGGTGGCCCAGTGAAGGTCATGGGCTAATCAGACAAAAACTTCTCTTTTGAGGGTTTTAGGAAGGTGGTAGACCAAGGTGTGGCTAGTATGGAAACGAGGAGTGACATATATCCCCTACTGTAATTAGAACAGCAGTTAAGGCTTTGGCCCCAGAGAGTGCAGATCTGCCACCTAACCGCTCTGTGACCCTGGGCTGGTTATTTAACCTCATTCCTCAGCATGTTTCTCTGTAGAATATGGGTAACTGCAGGGGTGATGCAGGTTAGCTGAGATAGGCATGTATTTTGGCCAGTAAATGTGAGTTATTTTTGTTGCTTTGAATTCTGCCTCTTTGCTATACTCTTGAGCTACTCATTGTAGCTAGAAACTGAGGAAGCCTTCAAATGCTGGCAGAAAGAATATGGAGAGAATAATTCATAGAACAAGAAACAACATTCTGCCAATTTTTCCTCTTCAAAACTTGCCACTTACCCAAATGCCCTGATTCTACTTTTTCTCTCCAGTTCCACACCCTCAAGATGATCCCAGTGAGCTGGAATCCTGGTTGAGGGATCTGGGACTTGGCTAGATGAGATTTGGCTCTCAGATGTGCTTTTTGTGAAGTATAACTAAGATTTTTCTCTAAATAGTTACTCCAACTTAACTGTTATTCAGTCAAGACTCTTAGTTTTCTTGTTTGTGTTCATGTAGCTTCTTGTGAGACAAACAATTTAAGAAATTTAAAAATTGTTCTATTATCCAAACACAACATTGCTATGTGCCCCCTTCCCCTTCCCCAGTCCTTGGAGTTCATTTTCTTTTGTATGTTTCACATATACCAATGACAAATATTTCATAGTAGATATTGCCTAGGCATAGAATTAGCTTTTTGTTTGAAATGGAGTCTTGCTCTGTTGCCCAAGCTGGAGTGCAATGGCATGATTTTGGCTCACTGCAACCTCCACCTCCCAAGTTCAAGTGATTCTCCTGCCTCAACCTCCTGGGTATCTGGGATTACAGGCTTCCGCCATCACGCCCGGCTATTTTTTTGTGTTTTTAGTAGAGACAGGGTTTCACTATGTTGGCCAGGCTGGTCTCGAACTCCTGACCTCGTGATCCACCCTCCTCAGCCTCCCGAAGCGCTGGGATAACAGGCATGAGCCACCGCGCCTGGGCAGAATTAGGTTCTTATGAGTGTGAAGTATCAGGTTCTTATCAATGGGCACAAGTAGAACTAAGAAACTATATCATATGCTTATAAATTGATTTCTTCTTAGTTTTTACTCCTATAATGTTTCTGTTGAGACCAGTTGACAGAGTAGGAGTGTCAGTATGGAAAAAGCATGGAACATTTTGAAACGCAGATTATTCATCAACTACATGTGTTTTAGAATGGAGTCAGTGATATACCCTTGGAGATGATCTCTCCTCACCCCCATCTCCTCCTTTTTCCCTTTCCCCACATCTGTAGCCACTCCCTGTCAGCTAAACCCAGAAGAAAAACTTGACAGAAGCAAAGGGCATCCAGAGAATTATGATCCCCAGGTTGTAGTTCCAGCTCTGCCATGTCCTAAGCGGTCATCATCTCTCTAGGTCTCAGGTTTCTTATGTATAAGATAAGTAGGAGATTGGGGCCACAAACCTGAGACTAAAGGAATTCTAAGTTTTCATTACTCTGTGTATTCCACCTTTGCTAGCTTGGGACCTAGCAGGTCTCAGCAGCTGGTCATGTAGCTAATTTCCAAAGCAGATAAATGCCTGCAGGATAACTGTGAATCGACTCTAATCACAGCAGAGTCCACTGCTTCAATAGATGCTGGTGCCTTTGGCTGCTTCCCGGAGCCACCAGCCAACCCAGAGATGAAGCTGGCTGAAAAAGCGGACGAGTATGTTGGAGAGGCCAGCATCATCTCTAAACACAGCATCTGGGAAATACCCATGTCCCCGGAAAGAGGTCATTGAAATCCTTCACTTAGTGGTGCAGTGCAGAGACTCAGGCAAACCAGGCTTTGAGTCCTGACCCTGCCACTTATACCAGCAGTATGACCTTGGGCAAGTTGTCTGGCCCTATGTCATCTTTCTCCTCCATACAATGAGGGTAGCAATTGAGTCACCTTGCAGGAGTGTAGTAAGGATTAAGGTCCCAGGAGGCCTAACAGTACCTACTAAGCAGAGGTCCTCAGAGGTACATAGTAAATGGTAGTAGTAGTTATTATCCTGTGCCCTTTGTTCACAGGAGTCTCTCATAGGGGCCGTGGGCTCAGTGCTCCTCCCCATGGCCAGGCTGTATTGGCTCATGCCCAAGGTGTAGCCTTGCCAGGGAGCCTGGTACAGAGATGCTGGTGATTGAGATGCTGATTAAATTCCCTGATTGAGGAGCCTCAGCATTCTGGCCCAGAGCAGCAGGGCCAACAACATTTAGCACAATCTGCTTGGATCCTCAATTAAATTGTTTTCCCAAACTGCCCTTTTCAAGGTCTTGTCCTCTTTCCTCACCTCTTTCTGGCCCCTTCTCTCTGGGTCCTTGCCAGAGAAGGGAAACAAAGCTTTGTGGGGCTCCATCTGCTTCCCCCTATCCAGAGAGAAGGTGACAGAGGCTGTCTTCCTTGCAGAAGATGCGGTTAAAACAAGCCTTGGCCATTCAAGGTGGCTGCAGTCTCATCCTGGAGGCTAAAGTCTCTGCGCATTCCAGGTTGATCCCTGTTTTCTTGGCAAAGCTGAGCTCTCAACTCAAACCTGCTTCTCCCTCCATCCTTTATCCCGCTAGCTTGCAAGTGTTTTTGCTGGGAAGGACGATTAAGTGGCACTTAGAGTATTTTTCCATTTTCCTGTGTTCACCTGGTAAAAAAGAAAATAAAACAAAATAAAGGAGGCCCAGGATTGAACTGTCATTATTTTTTAAATGGAGAGAGAAGGGGTCATGTGACTGCGAGTAACCGATTTAGCCAAGTGGCTGCAACTCCGAGTTTGCTGCAGAGCCGCCCCCTCCCGGCGGGGGCGCTGACGTCACGGAAAAGCCCCGCGGCGGGTCGGCTGGGCTAGTTATAAACCGCCCGGCCGCGGCGGCTGTAGGCGGCGGGCACGGACGGCGGGCACAGCGCAGCACTACCCGCTCCTTGGCCCGGGTATCCCAGCGCAGACCCACGCGATACGCTGACGCCCCGACGCCGATCCGGCCGAGCCAAGTAAGGGGGGCGGCCCGGGACGGAGAAGGGAGAGAGTGGGAGTTTCCCAGCCCGCAGAACTTTCGAAGTTGAGAAAAGAACCCCTGAAACGTGCGTTCTGTGCTGGGATTTTCTGGTGGGGGTCAGAGCTTCAAGTGCAAAGGATGTCGCTTCTCATCAGCAGGTTCCTTAGTTCAATTCGGTAGGACAGTCACCTCCTCCTACAGATCGAGTGGTCAGAGAGGGCAGCCCTTAATGATGCTTTATGTATTTGTTGTTTGAATGTAAGTCTGCCAACTGAGGTGCTGCTTTTGAGACTAAAAAACCAGCTGGTGGTCCTGGTTCGTGGCGAGGTGTTGGGGTATGGAGTGTGGGGGTGAGGGTGGGAAAGCACTGTTTGTGCATCTTGCTGATTGCAATGTGCCTACTTACACTTCGTCGCCAGTAGCCAGAAAAACAGACCTTCCGGCTAGGGGAGGCAGTCTGCAAAGGGAAAGTTGTAGCGAAGTTGTTGAATATCATTTAGGGTAGTCTTCAGCCTTCTGATTTGCTTCAAGAAGGGGAGCTGAGAATGGTGGTTCAGGCCTGTGGTCTCAGCACTTTGGGAAGCCGAGGCAGGAGGATCACTTGACCCCAGGAGTTGGAGACCAGCCTGGGCAACATTGTGAGACCACCGTCTCTACCAAAAAATAAAAATAAAAATAAAAAAACTAGTGGGCGTGGTGGTGCAGGTCTGTAGTCCCAGCTCCTTGGGAGGCTGAAGTGGAGTTGGAGGCTACAGTGAGCTGTGATCCTGCCACTACACTCCAGCCTGGGTGACAGAGCAAGACTCTGTCTCAAAAAAGGAATCTGAGTTGAATTAAAGAACTCTTGAGAATGGACGTGGTTTGTTAAGAATGAGGCACTTTCTGTGCAAATTTGCTAGGTCTGAACATGAGCAGATCATTTCTCTGCCAGGGTGTCTAGGTTTGGAGCTGAGATGCTTTAAAAGTGGCATCTGTGGATAAGAGGGCACAGCTGAGGCATAAACTTTAAGCAGAAAATTTCCCCTCTACCCCCAATAATGGCAGGTGGATGCTTTCCAGGCAGCTGGAGAGCATCAAAGCAACTTTACTAAACATGGAAGTTCCAATAAGTGCCTGTCCAGTCCAGCCAGGGTTGCGGTGGGGAGGGGTGGGGGTGATGTCATTGCCACGTGTTTCCCACTGAGGCACAAAACCTGCTGGACACTGGTGCAATTAAGAGCCAAGTTTAGACAAGAGCAGCTAACCTGACCAGTTGGTCCCCAGCAACATTAACTTGTTGCTTTTCAAGTCATCTCTGGAGGCTGCTGGTTCTTTCCAGCTGCCTTTGTGCCAGCTCCGAGTGCAGCTCTTCTTTGATCCAGGTCTGCTTTGAGGAAGGGGTAAGCCCATGGGCAGTGGTTGATGTTAACAGTATTATTTTTTCCATGCAAATGACAGTCTGCCTGAGGAGCTGGTTACTGACAGTGTGAGCAGTGTGTGTGTGTGTGTGTGTGTGTGTGTGTGTGTGTGTCCAGTTGAAAGCCTGTCTTGTTGGGCTTTGGAGACTGTTTAATTGGTGTTTTTTATGTTAGGGATACTTGCTTCTCATCTCATCTAATATAATATTACTGATGACTGACCATGTATTTGAGCAGAGCTCTCACTCATGCTTACTAATGCTGCCATCTTGGCTGCTTTGCTCCCCAGGACCCAACGATGACTCTGAATGTCACCATGCGCCAGGGCACTGTGGGCATGCAGCCGCAGCAGCAGCGCTGGAGCATCCCAGCCGATGGCAGGCATCTGATGGTCCAGAAAGAGCCCCACCAGTACAGCCACCGAAACCGCCATTCTGCTGCCCCTGAGGACCACTGCCGCCGAAGCTGGTCCTCTGACTCCACAGACTCAGTCATCTCCTCTGAGTCAGGGAACACCTACTACCGAGTGGTGCTCATAGGGGAGCAGGGGGTGGGCAAGTCCACTCTGGCCAACATCTTTGCAGGTGTGCATGACAGCATGGACAGCGACTGCGAGGTGCTGGGAGGTAGGTGTCCCAGCCCCAGTGGGCTTCTTTCCATCAGGCGTGGCCCAGGAAGAAAGAGCGAAGGTGGGTGGCTTATTTACCTGCAGAGTTGGGAGCTAAGGTTTATGCATTTTGGACAATTGATGGGGGAGCTGAGTCTCCAGAAAAGCCCAAGCACAGGCTCTCAGGGCAATAAAATGAAAAAGCTTGTAGACAGGACCAAAATCTATTGAACCTGGGCCAGAAAGGGAATTTTTCAGATTTCAATTCTAAATGGGTGGGGGAAGGCTGATTAGAGAGGGCATAGCCAGAGGGTCAGCGCCCCACCTCTGACTTCTGCTGACTCTGACTTGAACATTCTTCCCGGAATTCAGTATAGGCACAGCCTTTTTCCATGGTTATACCTAAAACAAGCCAGTTGGAAAAGCTGTTAGGATGGCTTGATCAGTTTGCTTCTACCAATATTAGAAACTTTTGTGGGTGTAAAATAGTTCAAAATCTGTATTTGAAATAGTATAATAATTTTTTAAAATGTGAAGTATAACAATGATACTTTGTATAGAGTCTGACAGCTTTTCAAGACAATTTTCCCTGTACAATTTTATTTCATCTATTTATTGATTGGAACCTGGCCTATTTCCAAAACTGTTTTGAGGTGACATTATCTCAAAATGCATGTATTCTTCAGCTAGGGGTAAAGTACAGCCCTATGTTCTGCTAAGTAATATGAAGATCCTGATAGCCAATGCCGTCCATAAAGTGTCTTTCAGCCACGGCTTCAGTCTGAGCGTATGCGACCAGGGTAGTTACGTGTCCCTATTCACCGCTACAGAAATAAAGGAAGCACTGCTCAGTGTTTCCCCAAGTCACATGTTCTGTGTTCTGTCGCGACTCACAACTGAATCACAGAGTAGGGAGGTGTCTCAGCGATGACTCAGTTCTCCCCTGCATTGATGCATATTAATACTATTCCTCACTACCCACAGCCCATCTCATCTGGAGGTTTTATTCTTCTTGACTGTCTCAGTGTCAAGGAGTTCACTGCTTCATGAGGCAGCTCAGGAAGTGGGCTATAAATGATGACTCATTGATGTAACATTGATTTCTCTCCTGGCTCCTGGAATCTCACAAGAGTAAAGGGAGAAATAGGGCCAATGTTGTACAATTGATTCCCTCCTTCTTTGTAAAGGCTGCCAGGTGACTTGCTAGGAAAGAGAAATGGGAGGAAGGGACTGACATTTAGAGTGAATGTTTGCAATGGGAGAGGCACTTTGTTAGGTGCCTTATATCTGCTCATGTTTATTTTGGTCTTCACAAAGTTCTTGTATTCATGAGCAAACTAAGTCTCAGGGGGACCAAGAGCTTTATCCAGAATCACCCAATAAGGAAGGTAGATTTAGAATTTGGGATTTTATAATCTTAGTTCAGTTCATTTTACCATTTCTGGGGAACTTGCTATGTGCCAGGCACTGTGTTAAGTACTTCCCACACATGTTTTTGATAATACTTGAATCAATCTGGCATTAATATACCTATTTTATGGGTGAAGAAATGGAGGCTTACAAAGTCAAGTGACTTTCCCAGGGTGAAAAAACTAGTACATGCATGACCAGGATTCAAATCTAGTTGTGACTGAACCCAAATCCTGTGTCGTTTCATGGCCCCCTGCAGCCCCAGGATTTAGCTTCCAAATACTAAGTATGACAGCGCACTGGGCATCAGCCACGCAGCTGGCTCTTGTCCTAAGCTCTGGGGTACATGGTGATGGATGAGGTATACCATGCTCCTTAATGAGCTAAGTGTCAGTGGCTATGTTGCAGAGCAGGATCACATTAACTAATACTTGAAGCAGTAACAATACAGTGCTTTGGGCATTGACATAAGGAAGAGATCGACTGGGAGGTTTTTTTTGGTTTGTTTTTAAGGGGAAGAATTGAAAAAAGTTAGTGGATAGTAGACTTTAAAAAAATGTTTGTCCATTAGAATGGAGTGGTATGTATCCAGAGGGTACTATTCCCATAGGCATAAAATGTTAAGAAGACTGACTCATACCTGGAATTTGGAAAGGTAGGCTTCCCAGATATTTTGGGAACTTCTTTGTTGAGAGAGACAGAGATGCCCAATATGACAGCAGATTGGGCATCAGGCACATGGCTGATCCTGGGGCTTCAGGGCACCATGAAAAGACACAGGATTTGGGTTCAATCACAAGAGAGAAAGGGAATCCTTTCCCTAGCTTCTTACACAGAGAATCTGTAGGACCTGCTGGAATCACTAGTTGGCTTTGCTTCCCAAGAGGAAGGTTTTCTAAGGCACACCCCTACATTTTTTTTTTTTTAAATCAGCATCTACTATAAGAAAAAATCGACATAATATTCTCATAATTATTTCTCCTAATAAAGATGGATATTGTTATAATTATACTGCAGTAATCTTATGACTCTCTGTACACACTGAATACCATTCATTCATTCATTCCTAAGAAGTTACTGAATGTATAGCAGAGAGCTTGGCGAGGCACTCCGGGGACATGCGAAGAGTCATAGTCATGGGGCTTCTTCTGCGGAGATGCTCACAGTATGCAATGGAGCATAATGTATACACCAAGTAGAAATTGAGATAGGATGTGGTGTCTTGAAAGCGGTGTAAGGAGAGTGCTGTGGGAATTCAGAGGTGAAAACATTACCTCTGACTGTGGATTTAAGAGCTTCGTGGTTGGCCGGGCACGGTGGCTCACACCTGTAATCCCAACACTTTGGGAGGCTGAGGCAGGTGGATCACCTGAGGTCAGGAGTTCAAGACCAGCCTGGCCAACATGGTAAAACCCCATCTCTACTAAAAATACAAAAAATTAGCCGGGCATGGTGGCAGGTGCCTGTAATCCGCAGGTGCCTGTAATCCCAGCTACTCAGGAGGCTGAGACAGGCGAGTCGCTTAAACCCAGGAGGTGGAGGTTGCAGTAAGCTGAGATCTTGCCATTGCATTCCAGCCTGGGCAACAAAAGTGAAACTCTATCTCAATAAAATAAATAAAATAAAATAAAATAAGGTTCATGGAAAAGATGGTCTCTGAGCTGAACCCTAGGAACAAGTAGGATTTGGAAGCCCTGAGCTAGGTGGGAAGGCACACCACATATATACAGCAAAGTATGGAAGTCTTATTGGGCTTGGGGTTTGATGAATGGGTTTAGACACAGCTGTGACACTGACTTAGCTGGGTGCTCTTGGAGAAGCCACTTAGCCTCCTCAAGCTGCCTCATTAGTGTAATTGGGGTAATACCTCCTTCATAGGGTGTTACGAGGATTAAAGGAGATAACATGTTGAGCGTGGAACATGGTGCCTGACACATAATAAGTACAAAATGAGCATTAGTTAGAGCTGATTCTGAATCTACCATTTCCTTTTGATGTGCTTATCTTTCAAAAGTGGCGGTTTCCTTGCTTGTGGCCCCTGTCCACTTTGGTCACTGTTGGCTGGGGCCCTTGGAGCTGTGCAGAGGGGACTGGGCCAGTAAAGGAGAAGACAGTATTTGTAGAGCAGGCATTTATTCCGAGGTTCCTTGGGATCCCCTGAGCTATGAAAGCTGGAAGCAGTTGAAAGTTTTCAGGGAGAGGGATGCTGGAGTCTCGGAACTTTAGAGGTGCTGCAGGAGTCGGTTCTGGCAGTGAGAGAACACTTGGGCGGGTTCCACACACAGCACTAGAGCCAGTCTCGGGCAGAAGGGGCCTCACCTCCAAGCACAAGAGGTGCTAACAAAAAAATTATTAACATGGTAAGGAAGACCTTATTCAGGACCATTGCAATAGGCATCCCAATAGCGGGGAGAGATGGGGCTCAACTCCAAATACAAGAAGAACAACTGGGCACTTGGCCAAGGAGCAGGTGGGAGGGGGCAGAGGATGGAAAATTACTAAGAGGAGACGTCAAGGTTAGGGGGGATTCTTGCTGAAGTCAGGCCAAGGACTTAGACATCAGAGGTGGTGGGTGAGGAATTTGATCAGATATTGAAGGTGGGGGATTCTCACTAAACTGACTTAGCAGGATTCTTGCTAAAGCTGGATTCTGCCAGGATGGAAATGGAAGCCCAGGGTGGAGGCCCGGTAGAGAAGAGGATTCAGAGGAGTCTGACTAAAGTTTGGTTAAGGAGAGAGTCTGTCAGGGGGATCAAATGAGGAAAGACACACTGGTTTAGAGAAAGTGGCTACTGACCACCATCACCCTTTGTAGAACCTCTGTCCGTCCCCATCAGCATGAGTTCTCTTGCTACATAGAGAGTGGACAGACACCCCAGCTTTCTTCCAGTGTACTGGAGAAGTGGGGGTGTCCCCAGACCCAGATTACTGAAAAGCTTCACAGAGGCTAATCAGTATCCAAACCTTTCTCCACACCTTTACGGGAAGCAAATTTCAAAGAGCTCTCCAAGAGTCTGGTATTCCTTTCCTTCCCTTCTCACCTGATTAGCACTTGAAAAGGATAAAAGATGAGCTGAGCAACTTAGATGAAGAGAAACCTGGAGCTCTGGTTACTCCCAGGCTTGCACCTGGTTAGGGGAGAGCCTTCAGTTGGGATGCCATGTGTGCTGGAAGGGTCCTGGCGCACATAGCCAGAGGCCGTATCTAAACTCATGTACTGGGGTGGGGGATCAAAAGGAGAGCACACGTGCTGAGTAGGGAGGAGATGGATTGTTTTAGCCTCCCAGGCCTCCAACACAGTAATTTTCAGGCAAAGGTAAGATCAGAGCTTGCCAGGAAACTAGAGGCTCTCAGGAAGCTTCTAGAATGGCAAAGCATCGTGTTTCTACTTTCATGGCTGTGATCCTTAGTCCACTTTTTCTCTAGACTTGTTCTGATATCTCTTAAGCCAGGAGAAAGTTGGGTTTTTCTTTTCCCATCAGCAATTGGAACACGGTATGTTTCTATTTGAATGACTGGGCACTCAAGCAAGTTCCCTGTACCTGAGTGGTGAGCTGGGAAAGTTCCTCCATCATTGAAGGAGTTGTCTGAGTGCAGGGAGGGGTTTTAGAGAAAAGCTAAGAACCCTGTGGTGGGAAGGGAAGCAGCGGTCAGGCCATCCCCGCTCTGTGCTGCCCAGGCTCTGATGGTCTCCATTGCATTGTCTAATTTGCATGTTGAGGTTGTGAGGCTCTACCCCCCCGTAATCCAAATAGTCCCACTGTGATCTCGTTCCTTCTGCGTATTGTGAGAAGGCACACGATAGGCATGACAGAGTTTTAATTCCCCAGGGGCAAACACTTACTGATTAGAAGAATGACGCTGTGGGAGGTGGGGAAACTCACAGAAAGACAGGGACATCCCTGGTTAACTCTGTTCTTATTTGTCCAAGTTTTCCTTCCGTAAGGAAGGGAAACCTCTCCTGATTCCAGTTCTTAGATGATGAAGCATTAAACCAGGAGCAGTGTTTTTCATAAACCCCTCGTTATTGTAAAACAAGAAGTGCCCTGGTTCCAATGTAGCTCTCTTAAGCTAGGATTTATCTGTAGTGAGGAAGTGCTGAGTATGGTAAGAACCAGCTTCCTTCACCTGAAGAAGTGATAATGGCTAACACTGATTGAGTTTCTACTTTGTGCCCAGACTTAATATAGGTAATTGTCACATAGCCCTAAGGTGTGAGTACTATTATCAATCCCACTGCACAGATGAGGAAAACTGAGGCTCAGAGAGCCTAAGTGGCGCAGACCCCCCAGAGTTCATAAGTGATGGCACCTGGATTCCAATTCAGGTTTGCTTGTTTTTGCAGCCACAATGCTATATTTATCATTCGTTCACTGCACAGACTTTATTGTGCACCAGCAATGTACCAATGTGCTGGGGGACACAGTAAACGGCACAAATGCAAATGTCTGCCCTAACAGTACGAGGAGGGGCAGGAGGGACAGAAAATAATAGAATGAGTAAGTTAAATGTGTTGTATGTTAGGTGGCAATAGGTGAGATGGAGAAATATAAAACAGGGAAGGAATACTGTGGGAGAGAAGTGTTGCAATTTTAAATGGATGGCCAGGAAGCACCTCTCCCAGAGGGAGGTAAGGGAACAGGCCTTGTGGATATTTGAGGGAAAAAATTCTAGACAAAAAGAACCAGAAGAAAAGTGATAAATCATTATGAAAGTCATAATTTTCAAAAGATGAAATTCAAAACAGGAAACCTCATTGTGAAAATAGAGTGGGGATGGGCTCAATGGTATTGGGATGAGTGAAATCCCACTTGCAGAAATCCCACTGCACCCCTTTCTATGCCTGCTCCCTGGATTTTCCAGGCTGGAACTGTTTTGGCCCATTGCGCTGTACTGTGTTTGCCCTTCACCTACACACGATCTGGGCTCAAGTGCAGGGAGGAAAGTTTCCATTACCACGTAGAGCTGGAGGCTGCATTTCTGTTATACTCAAGATGGGAAAACAAGCCCTAGGGAACAGCATTTTTTTTAAGAAAAGGAAGAAAACTACAGCCAAAACAGGGAGAGTCTCAAGATTCTTTCTTGCACTTGTCCAAAGAGGAGCAATGTCTCTGAGCTCAGAGCTCCTGAAATTGCTAGTGAGTGTTCAGTAACTACCCACTGAAAGGTACAATGGACTCAGGAAAATGCAGCTTACAGTTTCACTGGGTGGTTAACGTTTCCCCATGGCATTAACCATTGAATCTGAGTCAAAAGCTCTTAAGTAAGTTTATCCTCATAAATGATTTTCCCATACAAAAGGTCCAGGAATGATGCAAACAAATGTCTTTTACTCCATGTGGTTTAGTGATACGTGTTCGAGAGAGACGTTCTGCTGGATAAGGACTGGAGGAATTATATGTAGAATGTTGTTGAAGGTGACAAAATATAGTAATTTGCCTTTGAAAATATTTGTATACTTACATAATTAATTGCATATTTAGTAAGTTTATGTTCTAGCATAATTTTCTACCTGACCCTCTTATGGAGAAGTGTTGCATATTCGCCTGACTCCAATATCTTTGTTCTTTCTTTTCTAGAAGATACATATGAACGAACCCTGATGGTTGATGGGGAAAGTGCAACGATTATACTCCTGGATATGTGGGAAAATAAGGTATGCAGAGCCTGTAGCTCTCCAAATTCCTTCAGGGCTTTCCTTCCAACAAACTGTTTGGTGCGAGGGTGACCTTGTCCTATATAGTGGGTGTTCCAGATGAGGTGGGCTCATTTTCTTGATTAAAAGCATACTTCTGAAGGATGAGACTGTTCTAAGGAACAGGTCATTAACAAATGAGTTCTGAATAACAAGCAAGTTGTAGTGACTTGCCTTTACTTCTATTAAAAAACACACCCAAAAAGTTTGTTTGTTTTAGGGAAAATACAAACAGGCATGGACAGTTACTTTAAATAACATAAATCCATTTTATATGAAGATATTGAGATTCTCAATACTAGTCTTCAACATTGGCTTTTTAAAGATTTAAAAAACTTCAGAACCTGGCTGGGCGCAGTGGCTCAAGCCTGTAATCCCAGCACTTTGGGAGGCCGAGACGGGCGGATCATGAGGTCAGGAGATAGAGACCATCCTGGTGAACACGGCGAAACCCCGTCTCTACGAAAAAATACAAGAAAAACTAGCCGGGCGAGGTGGCGGGCGCCTGTAGTCCCAGCTACTCGGGAGGCTGAGGCAGGAGAATGGGGTAAACCCGGGAGGCGGAGCTTGCAGTGAGCTGAGATCCGGCTACTGCACTCCAGCCTGGGCGACAGAGCAAGACTCCGTCTCAAAAAAACAAACAAACAAACAAAAAAAACTTCAGAACATATGTGCTAAACTTCTGTTTATTGAAAACCCTCCTAGTCCCACAAAACTGTTCTTAATCTCATCACTTGGAAAAGGCAAAAGGGAGTTTTTGGGAAGTCAGAAAATGCTCATTATGGTAGATTAAATAGAAGCTGGAAATGCTGTTTGGCAGAGTAGTTGTGTAATTTATCAAATCAAGCTGTAGAAGATATTGAAAAGTAAAAACTTTTTGGCATAAATAGTGGACAGGCTAGCAATTTTTACAGCCACCAGACATCTTATAGGCATGGAAGACCAATACTTTTGGGGAGTCGGAAGCGATTTTCTTCCTTCCTCCTGTCAGCAAGGGTACTTTAGGACACACATAGTGTTTTTTTTTGCAAACTGACGCTTCATTCCCTGGTGTAACTGAACTCACAGAAGATCTTATTGTTTCATTAGGGGGAAAATGAATGGCTCCACGACCACTGCATGCAGGTCGGGGACGCATACCTGATTGTCTACTCAATCACAGACCGAGCGAGCTTCGAGAAGGCATCTGAGCTACGAATTCAGCTTCGCAGGGCTCGGCAGACAGAGGACATTCCCATAATTTTGGTTGGCAACAAAAGTGACTTAGTGCGGTGCCGGGAAGTGTCTGTATCAGGTAAGAGGAGCAGAGCCAATACTGCAGAAACAGTCACTGGATCACATGCATTTTCCTTCAGACACAGGTTCTTCCCTCCTTCCACGAGGCTGGATCTAGGAACTCATAAAGATGCTATGTGAAATTTCAGGTGTGTTTCTCAGACTCCTACAGTCCCAGTCAGTCTCCTCCACACTAGTTACTCTCCTTTGTCCATCTGGTCTACCTGCAGGATGCTAATCTTCCCGCTTTTAAGGAGTTTCCTGGAATTCCCAAGAGTACAGGGAAAGGAAAGTAGCATCTTCATGCAAGAAGGATAGGGAACTGATTTAGGGGAACCATGAGAAAGAGTTTCATTGAGGAAAAAGAATTCTACTCTGGCTGACTCTGGTTCCTGTAAGCCCTAGAAACACTGTCCTACTCTCCTACTCCCCATCCCTGGCTTCTGAAATTTCATTTAAGGCATCAGTCTGATGGGGTCACATATTCTTCTTCGTACTGAGTTCAGGGAAAATCTCTGTCTTCTGAGTGGGCACCCAAGTGCTTTTACAACCCTTGAGATTTTACTGGCCTAATTCAGATTTGATCCCTTATATAATTCTAAAACTGAAATACTGCATTGCCAGGCCCTGCTGAGGAGGAAAGACACCTGATAAAGACAATGTACATGCTAGTTTGGGAATGTCTTCCTACTAGGACACAACTGTCTACAGTAATCATTTTTTTTCCAAACCAAAACTTGATGCGTGGTCATTGAACACAATGAGATACTTGCAATTGAGACTGTCACAGAAAAGCTTGTATAATTTAACTGTATTACACATTTGTACAATTCTCAATTTTTTCCCAAGATATCTCATTATTGCTTTATTTTCATTTTTATTTTTATTTTCTTTTAAAGAGAGGAAAGCTAAGTAGTAGAATTCTTATTCCCAATTCTGGAAACTGGGTCAGGAGAAAGAGTTGAGTGTGGGCTTGAGAACTGAGCAGACCTGGATTCACTGCCACTTACAGGCTGTGTGAACTTCACCTGCAGAGGAGACTCCCCTCAGTTTCTTCATGTATTCGACAGGGATAATAATGTATTTTCCAAGATTGTTGTGGACATTGAAAACAGCGTTTATAAACAACTTAGCCTTGGTCTTGGCACATTGTAAGTCTGCAGTAAACTAAGGATATGGCTTTTACTGTTATAACAAATATCACTGTATTTGATGAAATGGACCTTCGGACAGTGAATATATGGTGGGCCAGGTCTAAAGCCTGTCTCCCTTACTTCCAAGGATCCTCCAGTGAGACATTTTCTATTCATGCCCTGGGAGGGCCCGTGCTGCAGCAGCATCCTCTATCCACTGCATATACAGCTGACTTAGTGTTACCTCGAAGAACCATCCAGCTTGACTGTGTGCTGTGCGGGACTGTGCTCTGCAGCCCCTCTCACCTCTTTCTTTCCTTCCCAGAAGGGAGAGCCTGTGCAGTGGTGTTTGACTGCAAGTTCATCGAGACCTCCGCAGCTGTCCAGCACAACGTGAAGGAGCTGTTTGAGGGCATTGTGCGGCAGGTGCGCCTCCGGCGGGACAGCAAGGAGAAGAATGAGCGGCGACTGGCCTATCAGAAAAGGAAGGAGAGCATGCCCAGGAAAGCCAGGCGCTTCTGGGGCAAGATCGTGGCCAAAAACAACAAGAATATGGCCTTCAAGCTCAAGTCCAAATCCTGCCATGACCTCTCTGTACTCTAGGAACCCAGAGTCACCCAGATGTCCCTTCGATGGACATTGTTGAAGGCCATTGGGACCAATAATCTATATTAGATTGGATACTTCAGTATTGTTAGTTGTGGTTTCCCCCATTGTAGCAGGGAGCTGACGTATTAGCCTTGTGGGCAACATGATGCATGGGAAATGGAAGATTTTTGTAAAAAGTCAGTATTTATTTCCAGGAAAAGCCTGACCTTGCTATTTGAACACCCAAGACTCGTTAGAGGACGTGTTTGGTGTTCACATGTGTTTCTTCTCTTCTGGATAGTAGAGAAGTAAAGCTTACAAAGAATGCCTAGAACAAGAAATTTTTGCATTAAAAATTTTGCCCAGTGTTCTGATATGTGACTTTGAGGCCAATGGGTCATAAACAAATATAAGAAAGCTGTTAATGAGTTTCTTCAAAGGAGGGAAAACTTTCTATGAATCTAAGATCGATGGAGCTAGAATTGTAGGACTAGGCTCATCAGAATCGTGACTATTATTGTTCCATCAAACTGTGAAAAGAAATAATGTGGACCTTGCTGGAAACAAAGGCTTGGCAAACAATTTTTGTTCAGTGCCCACCGAGATGTGTAGAATTGGGAACTGATACATGTATCCCTTATAGGCTCAAAAATTATATCTTACAATTTCTTATTTAGGGGAAAATTACTTGAATCAGATTCTATTTAGTCAAACCACCTTTTATGTTTTATTAGTTTTGAATTCATGGAGTCATCATAAAAATATTTTTAAAATCAAAATTATTGATACCCTGTAGTGCAAAATGTCAATTTTTAATGTATAATCAGAAGTCTGAATTTTTATAAAACATATAGCATAAAAACTTCCAGTACTTTGGTTGATCCTTGTATGTCACAGCTCTGCTCTATTTATTATTATTTTGCAAAATAACCATTTTAACATTTGATAAAGCATATTTATGAACATATTTCTTAATAAGAAAAATATCCATTTTATTACCATTTTCTATCTTTTTCAAAATATGCAAGTTTTTACCTATATGTCTTATAATAAAAGAAAATATTTGAAAAAAGGCATTCTTGATTGGTTTTCCTCCCCAAGCAAGATGATTAGGATTATTTTTATACAGCCTTTAGAGCAAGCACATTCCAAAGAGACATATGCCTGTTGTTTTCTTTCTTTTTTCTCACCAGCAATAGCCCAGTCATTATCCGTTTTAAAGGGTATCCCTGACATCTCTGCTTTGGAATCACGATTCACGGTAATGCAAAGTTATTTTTGGCTGATACCGTTGGGAAGTATTTGGGGTCATCTCAATGCTGTTACAGGAAAAGCTAGATTGACATTTTTCGTCTGGCAAATGCCTGACTGAACAGATGGGCCTCGCTTTGCTCCCTGGAGGCTCATGGTCTTAAGCTTGACTAAGGCATTAGAGGAAGTTATAAAGGATTAGGGGGAAATAAAATAAAGGAAACTAGTGATTTCCAACCCGAGATCTAGCCAGGCAAAGCTTTCACCAGATTCTCCTTTCTGACATTAATACGGCTTGACATTAATCACTTGGCATCTATCCAGTGGCTGTATGCAGCCCTTTTGCTGGAATGGAACTTCCTGGTGTTCTGCCTTCACATCTTCTCTGGCCCTATATGTACCCTATTTCACTCTCTTCTCCCTAGCTTTCTGAGTTTGTAGTCAGACACACAATGATGGTGACAATCATGGGACTTCAGACATTCCCTAAAGTGACACAGTTGTTTTTTTTGAGATGGAGTCTTGCTCTGTCACCCAGGCTGAAGTGCAGTGGCGTGATCTTGGCTCACTGCAACCTCCGCCTTCTGGGTTCAAGCGATTCTCCTGCCATAGCCCCCCAAGTAGCTGGGACTACAGCGTGCACCACCATGCCAGGCTAATTTTTGTATTTTTAGTAGAGACAGGGTTTCAGCATATTGACCAGACTGGTCTCAAACTCTTGACCTCAGGTGATCTGCCTGCCTTGGCCTCCCAAAGTGCTGGGATTACAGCCATAAGCCATCACGCCTGGCCTTAAAGTGACACAGTTTTAAAGGGGGTCTCTGCTCTGTTTTTGTTGCCCTTTCTCCTCCTTTTTCCAAGTTGAGCACAAAGGTTCCCATCTCAATGTGCTTTGCATCTTAAAATTGCTCAAGGCAATAGCATGGGGAGATGGATGATTCAGGTTACATAGATGTGGGGTGAATTTTGGCTGTGGAATTTAGTATCGTGGCTTTTGGAGTAAAGGTTAAAGGTTTCTAGCTATCAGTTTTCTCATCTGCAAAATGGGATTGCTAATAATACCCACTTTGTAAGTCTATTGTGAGATTAACATCTTTTAACCCACCATACAGTAAAGAGCTCAAGAGATGTTCCTTTCCATGGTTGCACATTTTCCATTCTGTATCATTTAGAGTTAGTTTTACACGTCTGTTTCCCCTAATTTGAATGGAAACTCCTTCAAATCAGGGACCACCACTCTGTTCCTCCTTACTCTTCTACTCATCAGTGCAGTGCACTGCATATACTGGGATTCTACAAACTTTCTTCTTGAACTTCATAGATCCTTCCAATGCCTTTGTGAGGTCAACAGTCCATCTCACAGCAAACTAATTCAGGTGGATAAATGACTGGTCCAAGTTTGTTCAGATGCTAAGTGTCTGAGCTAGGACTGAGGTCCACCTGTGACTCCTGGTCATTTGTATATTCTTATCTCCAAAACTTTCCTATAAACACAGCCTGTTTCATCCCCATGTATCATCGTATACACAGAATACACACACACACACACACATGCAATGCATATATATTCTTTACACTACTTTTCTCTTCTCTCAATCTCAAGTTTCCTCATCACTTCTTTTAGACCTTCCCAACCAAATGGCCAATAGATGCCAAGGCTCCCAGGTTTAATGGTGTGTTCAAGGTTGTCGTGACCACATTCCTTTGGCTTGAAGCAGGGCAGGATATTGCCGACTGCAATCCAATCTGAGAGGATTTTTGGTTAAGAGTTTTAGCTCCGGGGTCAGAGAAACCTGGGTTTCAATCTGGTTTCATCACTTACTGGATGTGTGGCCAAGAGTCAAGTTCTTTACTATCTCACAGCCTCAGTTTTCCGATCTGTAACATGGGAAGAATGCCCACCTCATAGGGTTGTGGTAAGGATTATGTGAGACCTGCAAAAGTTAAGTCATCATCTCAGGGACAGCTCTGACTCTGCCTGCTTTAGTGCAGCGTCCACACCTTCACACACTCGTGCAGTCTTCAAATATTAGTGGACACCCAGGTGCTAATAGCTGCTAGGAATATAATGATGGCTAAGATGTTATCCTCATCCTGAGAGATCTCAAGAGTAATAAATTTGTCCTGAAAAGCCAAAGGAGGTAGCACTGGTGATAGGAAGAAAATAAAGAAATTGTGAGAGAATTATACCAGGAAGGGACTTGATTTTTATCCATTAGATAAAATCCAAATGATGAAAAAAATTGTTAAGATGATTGAGTTAGATGTGGAAAAGAAAATTAGGCCATTAAAAAAATTCCAGTTGGAGAAAGTGGGAGCATTGGGGAAAGGTGAGTTTTTTAAGCATCCTACGTTTTTGCTTACAAACACATGAACTATTCAATGCAGAGAAAGATGCAGATGATTCTAAATTCACTTGGGCAAATTTGTGGAGCTCCGGCTTCTGAAAAGTACTGTGGAGAACACATGGTGGGAGGAGGCAGTTTTGCCTTTAAGGGGCTTGTAATGTGGTTAACAATGGCAGGAAGCAGATGTTGTCAGGAATGGAGACAACTGCACAGAAACCTACAACATGAGGTTGAAGATAATATGGGCCATCGGAGACATGTGCAGTAAGGCAGTTTAGCTCAGGTGGGAGAAAAATCCTTTGCTTGGCTGTTGTAGTAATGAATGTCTTCTTATTTATTTATTTATTTATTTATTTTTGAGACAGAATTGTGCTCTGTTGCCCAGACTGGAGTGCAGTGGCACAATCTCAGCTCACTCCAACCTCCACCTCCTGGGTTCAAGCAATTCTCCTGCCTCAGACTCTGAGTAGTTGGGATTATAGGTGGGTGCCACCATCCCCGGCTAATTTTTGTGTTTTTTGGTAGAGACGGGGTTTCACTGTGTTGGCCAGGCTGGTCTGGAACCCCTGGCCCCAAGTGATCTACCCGCCTTGGCCTCCCAAAGTGCTGGAATTACAGGCGTGAGCCACTGCACCAGCCCATGGATGTCTTCTTAGAGAAAGTGATGTTGAGCTTCATCTTGAAGACTACACAAGATTTCCACAGGTAGGATTGGTTGAAAGGAAGACAAAGGGAAAAATTGGCCTATGTAAAGAAAACAGTATGAGCAATGACAGAGAGGCAGGAAAGGGAAAAATCTATATAGAAAAATGAGCGAATTCCAATTTGGCCAGGAGCTTTCTGGGGGGCGTTAAGTTAAGCTGTTAATGTATGATGCTTGATAGCCTGAGAGATTCAGTTTCAAATTCTTACTTGTTGGGTGTAGTGGGTTAAACAGTCTTTCTCCAAAATTTGTGTCCACTTGAACCTCAGAATATGACTTTATTGGGAAATAGGGTCTATGCAGATGTACTAGTTAAGGATCTCAGGACGAAATCATCCCGGATTAAGGGTGAACCCTAATTCCAATATGTGGTGCCTTTATAAGAGAAAGAAGAGAGATTTTGACACAGAGGGGACAGAGAGGGAAGAAGGTCATGCAGAGATTGGGGTTGCAATGCCAAGGAATGTTTACAAGCACCAGAGCTGAAGAGACAAGGAAGGATCTTTCTCTAACTCCTTCAGAGGACATGTGGCCCTGCCAACATCATGATTTTTGGATTTCTATACTCCAGAACTGGAAACGGATACATTTCTGTTATTTTAAGCCATCAAGTTTATGGTAATATCAGCAGCCCCAGGAAACTAAATACACTGGGTTACTTAGGGCAAGTTAATCTTAATATGCCTCAATTTCTTCATCTGAAAAACAGGGATAATAACATATACCTTATAGGAATGTCATTAGGATGAAATGTAAAGCACTTAACTTACCAACTTATTGTTTGCCCAGGAGGTGGAGAGAGAGCGAACTGGAAAGGTAAGTTGGGAAGCAATTGTAGAATACATTGAGCTCCAAACTGAGAAATGTGGAAGGTAATGCAGATACTTGAATATTTCTAAACAGGGGTGTGACAGATCAGAGTGGTGCTGCTTCAGGACATCGCCAAGAAGAGCTGAGCCTGGCAGGAACTGAGTCATGAGACCCATCCAAGGAGACCAATGAGGAAGCCACTGCAACGCTGGGACGAGAGTCGTGAGTAAGGCATTTCAGGCAGAAGGAAGGAAGTCCTTCATCAGGGGCATTTGCTGTGCTTATTGGACTTAGAGAGCACATGTGTCTGGCAGCATTCAAGGTTTTCTGTGAGAAGTACACACAAAGTGTTGAGGCCTGATGCCCACAACAGCCAGACAGACAGCAGCACAAAATGACAGCAGTAGGGAAAGGGAGCCATTCTGGCCAGACACAAGCCCTGGCCAAGGCCCTGGTGACAAGATTGCGCTGGAGTAAGATATGGAGTCCAGTCATGTGACTTGATGGGAGACAGCCACAAAACAACAGACTCTACCTAAACCATCAGTAATTCATCCAGTCCAACCCCAGGGAAATGAGGAAGTAAATATTATCCACCTGTTTTTCTTGTCATGCAGCTAGGGAAAAAATTAATCTATGCAAACCAAGGACATGAGATTTTTAGCAAAAGAACATACAGGTGATCCTGTGTCTGCATGCGTGTATGCTGGTGTGTGTGTGTGTGTGTGCACGCACGTGCATGTGTTGGGGAATAGGGTAGAGGTGGGAGAGAGGGGACTCACAGCTGAAGGAAGAGCACAGTACTACAATTAGTAAAACATATCAATGAGACTCTTGTCTTGCTCCACTTTTCAATACGTATATTCTAAAAATGGGAATGCTGTCAGTCTTATTTATTTATTCCAGCATCTACCAAGGAAGGTGAGTATCCTAGAGCATGCCCTTTCTGGTACTCAGGACA